ATACTGCCTCATGGAAAAGATAAGTTTTGGTAACTGGATATTCTAGAGTATTGAAATGATTCAATTCAAAAGAAATTGTACTTTTCTTTGAAGACTAATAGTTTTTTTTGGCAAGACATCGTATAATCCAATGTGTCAATAGAATGCTGTCTTAAAAAACAGCAAGTTCTAAATTATCCTCTTACACAAGGTCAATCGCTGCCGTTTCCCAGAGTGGGAAGGACAGAGCAGGCATTTTGCAATGACTTTGGTTCTTATTCTCTTTGAAATATATTAAAGTAGCCCATCTATTGTAATATTGGTTATGAATTACTTCTATCACATCATCATCAGGACTAAAACCTCTCAAGGATGTACAAATACCAAATCACTTTCCTGTTTTATATCAATATTTTAAAAGTAGTGATTGGCTCTATTCTGAGAAATAATTTTGGCTTCCTTCTGTGGAATGGCTATGAAAATTAATTCTACATGTTCCAAAGATATTAACTTTTTTTCTAAAATGTTGCCACTATTAAGTAATATTTCTTCTCCTGAATTTTAAATGGGTGAGATTATACATAACTATCTTATTAGGGTCAATGATAGAATTCAGAAAAAAAAAATCACAAAAGGTGTGAATATCTATTAAGATATGCTCTATGTTGAATGGTCTTCTATTAAGAAACATAGGAAAACTAAACTGAAAATTTAAAGCATCTTTTCTAACAAATAAACCAAGTGATTACAAAGTTGGGGACGTAGCTCAGTGGCAGAGTGGTTGCTTTGTATGTGCAAGAGCCTGGGTTTGATTCCCAGCATCACAAAAATAAAATAAATACATAAACTACTAATCTAACATTTATCTATATTTGGTTGTTTCTCTTAAGTTCATACTATTTTAGGATGTCTTAATACCTACTAGTTCATTTTGTTAATTCAACATGGAGTCTCATATTAAAGACTCACATATTATTTTCCTATAAACATCAAAGAAAAATCAAGCTCCTTTTCTTTCCAATTAAGATTATATTTAATTCTAAGTTTCAATACATAGGCAGAGTAAAAGGGTAAAATCATACTGATGAATTTTTGAATTTCAGGCATTGATTGAACTTTTGTGCTTATGTCTGGAAAACGAAATCCTTTAAAAGCAGTTCATAATCATTGTAAAACTCCAATCGATGCTTGCCTCACATCTGGCAATAATGAAAACAAATTAACAATAAGATTTTGAAAATCTGGCAGTACGATAAAGCCAAGCATACAAAATTATTTCTCTGTTCTTAGTCACTGGTGGTCCAAGAAAGGATCAACTTCCTGTCTTGGACTCTGGCTTCTAAATTAAAGGAGGAAAATCTTACGACATTTGGGTTCAGACTTCTGGCTCACAAACAACTAAGGCCTAAACTCACTGAGCAGGAAACCTTTACCTCCAACGTATCCTCAGAGAAAAATCTGCTTTTCCAATAGCTGCTTTCAGTTTAGTTCAAAGAACTGCAGATGGCATAGATTCACCCCTTCAAGTTTAGGAGATTTTAAAGCTTAATATGCTATATTAAGTTCTTTCATGCCAATTTAATTTATCCTGGGAAAGAGGGCTTTCTTCACACTACACATATGAACAAGGATTTACTTAAAGAAAAAAGTCCAGTTTTGTCACCCAAATTATTGAACTGAATAAGTTTATCTCATTTAATTACTTTAAACTAGGTCATCTAGTTTTGGAAATATGACTATGCTCATTTTTCTGTGTATATAGATAGGTCTGTCATGTAAGATTTTTACTTAATACTGTAAAACAAATTTTTGTGTGTTTAAGTAACAAATTTGATGCCTAGCTTTTAACCAATGGAGTAGCAATGACCAAATTAGGAAAATATTTTTAATTCTTAAAGAATGTTGCAGAGTAGCTTGGAAGTGCCATTTATATACAAACTGCTCATATAGCAGAAAAATTAATAAGAACAGGAAAGAATTCTATCAGTATCCTACTATGACCTAGAATAGAGGATGGAATTTCATCTCTATTATAGCCCTTCAAGCAACTGAGAGGTGCCATAAACTACTCTTGTTACAATCCAAGGATGGTGGATATGAACTATTTGGAGAGCAGAAGGCATCAGAACACAGAAGGCATTATTGTAATTAAGGAGACATGGGTTGAACAGTGATTTAAGTAATGGTGGTTGTTCTGTTTTACACCAGACGACAACAGCAGTTCTTTCTTTGTTTGTAGAGCTAAAAATCAATGGATTTTTCTCAAAGCTTTGTAGGTCTGTGTTGTTTACAGTGTGCTTTCAGGGGTACCAATGTGATTTGAACCTGTATTACAACAATCCTGAGAGGCAGGCAGAATGGTCATTTTTGTCTTGTCTTTAATAGGCTGGATATAATTTTCATCAATTTGTGATGCAATAATATGGACTAATTAAGTTTTAAGTGTGTTGAAAACCAGAAAAATTACTATGGTATAAATGGGGCGTGGCATCAAAATGACATGTTTTATTAAATGTAATGTGCAAAATAAAATGAAGTGACCTCTATTCAAAAAAGGTACAAGACAGGAATTATTTCAAAGGCTTTAGTACTCATTTTCAATAAAAAGAATTCTGGCATTATAAAAATACATAAAATAGTTGTGGATTTATACCATTAATTTACATAAGGTTTTTTTTTTTGCATAAAACAAAGTTATAAAATACTTTAAAAGGTATTTTTATATGAAAGTTACTCCCAGTATAAAATTTTTATAACTTTTTGTAATTTTGGTTCATCTGTATAAATAAGGCATTCTGTCCTTTTAAAATTCAT